GGGATTTGCATATCTTCTTACATGTGATTAAATGCAAGAATCAAGAGATGGAATTATTTATTCACTCACACACGCACCATATCATGCTTATTTGACAAATGAAAATAATTAAGCTTTGGGACTATAAAATAAATGAAGAGGCCAACTACAAAGATTATATGGTTAGTTCTTCAGTCATTAATTTTCATCATAATTATAATTTTTCAGAAGTTAAATTCCCTTTCACTGAAAAAAATATTTTAACTTACTCTTCTGATCACCAAGAACCTAACAAACTTATTATGTCAGAAAATAAATAGAGTAGAATGGTTTTAACGAGGCTTAATTAAAAATAGATGCTGAAATTTGGAGAGGGGTCCTCATGATACATTAAAAAGACCAACTATGGAATTTAATATACATATGGTTGGAAGTACAATGAGTAAAACATAAGTAGGTCCTCTGAACCAAACCAAACCAAAACTACTCGTTTAGTTACATCACGGTTTGAATGATGTTCAGTTTCAAAATTGATGTTTTTGCTACTTGTTCTTATTGGTGGTTGTCATATCCCATATTCGCTTTCCCTTAATCTAGAATAGTTTTAAATTGGAAATAAATTCAAAAAATGAACATCTTAATTAATCATTTAAGTTTTAAGCAGCAATGATTTATCAGTCATAATGGAAAGAAATCAATTCTTTTTAAATGAGATTTTAGTTTGAGTTTTATAAATAAAAATACACATGTTAAGAGAATTTTTTCTTATAAGATCCTATCTAACTCAATTTCAAATTAATCAGATCTAATATAACTTTCGAACGCTAACATGTTTGCTTAAAAAACAAAAAAAGCTTTAAGGCACCCCAAATTATTAGGTGCGTACATAATGTGGACCTATGAAGGAAAAATATTGAAAAGGTTTCAACTGTTCTGAGAATAGCCACGTTTTGCCTAATTTTAGCTCGTAACCAAGGTGGAGGCATCATTGTTGAGTGAAGTAGACTAATGGGAGTTGAGGACCGCGGGTTGCTGCATGCACCCTCACAACCTTCCCCAATAATTCTTTCACCTTATTCACATTAATGGGAAATACTGGGTGGCTTTTTCTTTTTCTTTTTCTTTTTTTAAGAATTAAAGTATTTTTGGATAAATTTACGTAGATCTTAAAATTAATAATTCATTTATTCAGTTAAAAACAAATTATTTATGTAAAAATTAAATAATTTAAAAAAAATTATCTTATTATTTAATCTCTTTAGATAATCAAATCTTGATTAATAATGCGAAACAATTTAACCTCCTTACAAACTAGCAAGTCGACAACTCCTTACGGGGGAATGTTGAATGTTGGGAAGCAGGTTTTGGAGATATATTTGGACGCTTTAAAGGTTAAAGGTCATAAGGCAAAAATGGAAATATTATCTTTTATTTGGAGTAATAAAAGCATTCTATATATTATTATAAGTTCATCAATGAAAATAATTTTGTTCTTTGTTCACTTTTAATTTTTTATTCCTAATTTTTCTATACGTGGATTGTTGGTTTTATATATATATATATAGTCGGTTTAAAATTTGAAGCAGGGGCGCCTAGGCACTTCTCCCTATTTTTGCAGGGCTTCTTCCCCTGTTTTTCTTTTTGTTCTTTCCATGGCTCATCCATGTATGTTGGCCTGGACTTATCGCAATCTTGGAGAGGCTTACTTGATTTTTGAGTCAAACCAATTGTGCCTCCAATAAATGCCAAACTTTGCCTTGCTCCCTGCAACACAGCAATCGAGGATGGAGGTGAATTTGCTCCGACTAGATCTAGGGTTGGCTCACTATTCTACAAGCTATTGTGCAAAGCGAAGGGGTGGCTTGACTCTGTTATGGAATGATGAGCTTAACCTTCAAGTTTCCTCTTTCTCGCCATTAATAGATCTAGGGTTGGCTTTGCTATTCTGCGAGCAATTGTGCAAAGAGAAGCCATCTCACATCGATGTTGTAATACTAGATCCGGGTGGATGTCAATGGCCATTAACAGGGTTTTCTAGCCAACCAAAGACGGTTTCTCCTCTGCTTTGGCTGCGTTTAGGCAACATCAATGCTACCTTGAGCAAATCGGAAAAGGAGAAGGGCATTCTCATATTTCGGTTAGGTTCTGCATTGGGGGCCATAGGCGGGTTTTGGTGTGAAGGGTCAAATTTACATGTTGTGAGGGAAGCTGATGGGGTTCTGCAAGGGCAGTATGGTCCTCAAGCTAGTAAAGGGGCTCTAGATCCCTTATTAACTTATGGTAGCAAAGGCTTGATGAGGATTGGAATAGATGGGCACATGTTTGGGTGCACTTGTAGACGAATAGGGTGTTTGGTGACTGCACAGAGGAGGACCATACCCCTACTCTTGCTGATTATTTTTTAAGAATAGTTTGGATGGCAACCTATAGTTTGGGGACTGTTTATTGCCAAAATCCTTTACTCTCCCCATGAAGCTAGTTAATTAGGTGAGGACATCCAGTAACTTCCAATGCTCATAGTGACTCTTCTTTCTACATTAGTAGCCTTATTTAGCCCATACAACGATTGCAATTGCAATCTCTAGTTGTAGATGGTTCTCTTTATTTAATTATCTATATTCGTTATGAGCATAATTTAAATCTGCTATTAAGCTGTAAGTTATGCTTTTGATTTTGCTTTTTAGGCTCTTATGCTTTAGGTTATATGTCATGTGATGAAGTTTTTTTACTGTACTTTCTTATTATTCAATATATTTCTCCATTTCTTATCAAAAAAAAAAAAAAATTGAAGCGGGGGGAATGAAAATGAATGGAAAATTAGAATCTGGGCCACAGACATTTTAGGAGGGCTTGAAAACCCGTTTAAAGTTAATGAGTAACTCACTGGCCCGGTAGCAGCCCGTTTGAACCAAGCTCGGTCTGGGCCACAGCCCCAATCTAGTTCTTGTGTTTTTTTGGCGGGAGACTGTAGAGATGGGCGCGGCAAGCCCAAAGGTTTCCCGCCACTGGGGAGAATGGTCAACTAGGGTGGCAGAAAGGTAGTTATGCTCCTCGAGTTCTGTTGGATTTAAGAGAAAAGTACAAATTTACCCTCTTATTTTTTGTTTTTTTTTTCTTTTTTTTTTAAATTAATAATAAAAGCCATCATCTTCAGTTTTCCCAAATTCTAAAATTCGCAACTCGCAGGAGATTTGCTCAATAAATAAACTTTTAAGGAAATTTGTTTCTTTAAAAATTTGTCATAAGTTAAAAAACAAATGAAAAAGGTAGGAAAGATCCTTTTTTTTTTCTATTACTTTCACTTACGGTTTATTTGGGGTAGAAAATTTTTTTTCCTCTTATCCATAAAGTTCAGACACATTTTAGAATTTTTATTCTTTAAAATTACAATACATAAAGGGTAATATTGATATTTTTAGTCTTTATTTTTTTTAATTAATTCTTAATGAGTATTGATATGCATATAATCTTTTCATACAATATTTCTATACAATTTTTATATATCATTAAATAAATATATATATGTAATATCATAAATCTTAATAAAATTAAAAAAATTAATTATTAAATAATAAATAAAGTTATGTAAAAATATTATATAAAACAATTTTCTCTAAATCATTTTTTGTTCTTAATAAGCAAATATTCTCTTTTCACTTCTTTTAAGCGAAAAACTTTGCCCTAACTTTCTCAATATGAAATTAACTTGACAAGTTTCTCCTAACTTTTTTAATATCAACATTTTACTAAACATGGAAAAATAAATAATCCAATAACACTTTAATAAAATTTTACTATAAAATTTATTAATATTTTGTATAATACATTTTAAATAAAATTGATATCTTACTAAAGGTGTGCTTAAATTCAAGACCCATTATCCGAACAATAAATGGATAAACATTTGGAGCTATATAAAATTAAAAATAATTTTTCCTTTAAATTTAAAATACTTTATAAGTAGTGGGAATCATTTTTATCTTTTGCTTATTACTATTAACCAAAACAGGGAAAAAAAAATAATGTTATAAGGGCACATTAGTAATTTAAAGCGGGGGCAAACCAGTCAACAAAAGGAAATCTTCAGGATAAAATCGGAAAAACGGAAGAAATCACACAGTGGCAACTGGCAACCTAGCGTGTAGTTAAGTAAGGTATTGTGTGTTGATAGAAACGCCCAACGGATTTTGAAATGGAAGCAGTGGAAAACGACAAGGAGAAAACTGTCTCTGACGTCGGCGGAAGCGGCGACGATACGGCAGTTACAACCGGAGGCCGAGCGCGCAGGGAGCGAGTGAGGGGACCATGGTCGCCGGAGGAAGATGCGGTACTGAGCGAACTGGTGAGCAAGTTCGGGGCGAGGAATTGGGGCTTGATTGCTCGAGGAATCCCCGGCCGCTCTGGCAAGTCATGTCGTCTCCGCTGGTGTAACCAGCTCGACCCAGCCGTCAAGCGCAAGCCGTTTTCTGGTAAAAGAGTAGATCTTCCCTGTGTTATCTTTCTGGAGAAATTCGAGCTCAATGCCTAGCTATCTAAAATCTTTCAATGTGGTTTATTAATTTCTAGCCTTTTGATTTTAGTCTTCTCACAAGATTTGCCTGTTTGGATTAATTTTAAATGTTTCTGGCTTGTTTATGGAGTCATTTTCTGAGTTTTTAATTTTTTTTTTAAGTGTTGTTTAGGATTAACCGGTTAACCCTGCATTTGACAGGATTAATTCAGTTCAATATTTTTGAATTATGATTTCTTTTTTATGTGCATTTGAGTGTTGTGAATTATAAATTGTTAATTCTTCATAATACTTAATGAACAGTTGGAAAGGGCTTTGCCTAGCAACATAGCTGCTTGCAGGCAATTATTATTAAAGAGGGTTTTTTTTTCCCTCTATAATCTCAAGAAAAAAAGAAGTATGCTAATCCCCATGAATTTTGACATGGAATCATAGCTATGCGTGTGAATTTTCTACACTGAAGATAAACTAATTTATTTACTTGTAGCAGTAATGGATGTAGGTAGTATAAATCAATGGTGATTAGAGAAGCTGATTATTATTTAGAGCAATTTCATGCTTAATCGACAGAGAGGCATTTCATCTCATTCTTTCAGTCTTTTTTTTTTTTTGGTTAAGTGATGTATGAAATTGGGGAGATGCGGAGTATTTACTTGCATAGATGCTTTTTCACAAGGGTGACTGATGAGGAACATGTTTATTTTGATATATAGGATTGCAACATAGATCTCAAGGCAGAACATCGTCGGTGAATCATTAATTGATATCTCTTGGTAGCTTCCTGATAAAATACACTAACAACCAATTTTGTTACAGATGAGGAAGATCGAATCATTATTGAAGCACATGCCATCCATGGGAACAAATGGGCTGTGATTGCAAGGCTTCTACCCGGAAGAACGGATAATGCTATTAAGAATCACTGGAACTCCACCCTGAGGCGGCGGTTTGCAGAACATGAAAGGATGAAGTCAGAAGCTGGAAATATGGTTGAAGATGTTAGCTTGGACAGAACCAAGGCATCATCTGAAGAAACTCTGTCTTGTGGTGATGCTACTTCAGTAAAATCATTGGAAGGGAAAGGCCTGAGCTCTCTAGAAAAGATGGATTATCAATGCAAAGGGAAATTGCCAATACAGATTCCACATGGTCATGGAGTCAAAGAACCTACTACCCTGTTCCGTCCTGTGGCTCGTGTCAATGCTTTCAATGTTTATAGTACTGCAAATGGCTCTGAATCTGCTTCACTGCTTCCTAGATCAGTCCCAGCACATGGACCCTTAATTCAAACATTAAGGCAAGATGTTGGTATCAGTAAATTGCTTGAAGGATATTATAGCGAGCGTTTAGTGCCTCATCATTGTGGCCATTGCTGTTGTGAGGCAGAAAGTGGAAGAAATTCTCATAATTCTCTTTTGGGGCCAGAATTTGTGGACTTCTTGGAGCCCCCGTCATTCCCAAGTTATGAATTAGCTGCTATAGCAACAGATATAAGTAATCTGGCTTGGCTGAAGAGTGGGTTGGAAAATAATAGCATCAGAAAAATGGATGATGCAACTGGTAGTGTAGTTTCTCATGAGTCTCAAGTAAATTAGGGGGAGGTTGAAAAGAGAATTAGTGATAATTTTCATTTTAAAGGGAGAAAAAATAGCTTAACATGCATGACAAACACTTGCAATCTAGGAGGCAATGGTACTTCCAGGATAAGATGCAGCTTTTATGACATTATGTATTATAGTATACTGTATCCCTGAAGAAAAATGGAAAGGAACATAAAGTTTAATACTAGATTTTTAACTTAATTAGAACCTGTTTGAATGAGACAACATTTAGGATGTAAGAAAATATGAGATGGAACATAGCTCCTGAAGTATGTTTGAAGAGGCAGCATTTAGTGCTTGGATGAAACTCAACATCTGAGAGTATAGCAGAAAGCTTAGTGCAGAGTTTGGCGCCCCCTTTTCAGAAGCAAAACCGACAATACATTGGTTTTGGAGATGGTTGGAAGTTTGGATCCTTTTCTTGTTTTTTTTGCACTTCCTGTTGTTTTCAAGATGTTGAAATTAGACAATTGTAGCTTAGGTTGTTCATTAATTTGAAAAGTTAGAATTCAAAACAAGAAATCTGTGGACAGTAGAAATAGTAACAACGTTGTAGAGTAATTATAATTGTCTAACTAAAGATAGAATTTCATGCATTAGTCTCTTTTTGGAGTAATTTGTTTGGATGCCACATCTGCAAAGCAAAGTGGAGGCTGTTGATGGTATTAATACAAAGTGGAATCCATCTGGAATCCCAAGTAATGAGTGCCATGCCTAGTGATAGACAAGCATTGATCCTTTTCAATGATGCAAACCTTCCACTCCAGGGAATGCAAGAGAAAAAAAAAAAGGCTGCTTTTGCTCTTTCTACTGTGTTCTGAAAGAGAGGTAATGAAAAGATGATGAGATTTTTTTTAGAGGCAACACAAAGTTCCAAGCGCAAAGTGACACGGAACTGGAGGCTGCCTGGAGGAGGCGACATGGCTTGCTGTAAGTGGTTGTCTGCTTGTCTCTATTAATTTTTCTGTCTAATTAATTTGCTGGGCTCGAAAGAGAATAATTCATAATTATCTCTTCTTATTACGTGCATGTGTTGGGCCTCAACCTCTGTATCCATAAAAACTAGCTTGTTAGGTGGGATTGGGACACGCACCATGGTTGCACAACCCTGCCTATTCTATCCCAAGTGCTTCGGTTGATATTGAATGATGAATGGTCCGCTTTCACTCCAAGGCAGCTGATTCTCCGGATTCTGGTCTTCCTCGAATGAAGGGGTCCTACATCCCAAAAATATTAAAAATGGGAACGTCAGGAGAAACCAAATGGAAGATTCAACTGTACCGCTCCGACTACCAGTACTAGCTCCCACCGACCACCCCCACCTAGCCACCACAATCTAACTAGTGATAAGCTTTACTTGCTCCATACGAATAAGTGGAGATGGTTCCATATATGACGTCCGCAAGTAATCCAAAAAGAATGGCTTAATTTCTTTGGATTTGTTTTGTTGGTTGCAGAGAGCTTTTCATGAATCATCTCACTAGGAAACCATTTCTACTTTTTTGTGACGTGATATTAATCAATTGTCATTTTGGCCACCAAAAATAATATCTACAATGACTATTACAAACATTTTCGCAAAAGTTCAAGGACTAAACTGCCATACTATTATTTGATCAATGGTATGATGACATCTGCTAGGGAAGATAGTTTTACTTTTTCTCATGGTAGGCGTGAGGCTAATGTTTGTGCTCATAATTTACCACATCAAGCACCCAATGTGAGGTGTGAAAGGATTTGGACATGGACAATTTGTGGTCCTACGTCCATTGCTCATTAAACACTGTAATATTTTTCCAGCTAATAATATTTTTCTTCTATCAATAAGTAAATAAATAAATATCAAACATGTAGGTTCCATTGAAACGTAGGATATGAACATGTCTTTAAACTGCTCTGGCTTGAGAGAAAATGTTAAACAATCACCCTTTTTTTTTTTTTCCTTATTTTTCCTCCTTCCCTCATATTTCCCTTTGCTAAAAAAGGGGATTACGAAACTTGTGATTAAAGCAAAGTTACAAGTTTTTTCTTGATGCTTTCTAGCAAAATACGGCTTACAAGTTGCAAGTGCTGTTTTTAATTTTTCAATCTTGGCTGTCTATGCTTAAACGTTAATTAATTCGCGTTACTCTTAAGCGGAGCTAAAAACAATAATAATTTTCAATAGATAAAAAAATCATAATTTATCATGATACATATTAAAATTATCAGTTATATAATTTAATAATAAAATTATCTACCCTTATAATTACAGATTCAAATCCTACTATATACATATTAAAAATAAATTACAATGCCTCTGAAGTATTTATATCATATCTTTCTTTCAATTATTTGTTTAGTAGCTGGTAGTCTGTCGCTTCAGAAAAGAAGAAATGCACATGTATGAAACATCCAGAACTCGAGCACTTTTTTTAAAAGTTAAATTCGACGTATAAGAGGTTTAGGTTAAAAGAAATAAAAGGGAGAAGATGGGAGCGTAGGAATTTTTTAAATAATTAAATTATAATATATTTTTTTCAATTCTCTTATTCCCCTAAACTAAATATAGGATCAGAATTTTTATTATTTTTTAAAAGGGCTTTCTATGAAGGTGGAAGTTATGTTCTAATATTATTATTATTTTTTTAAATGCTTGGAACTTTTTAAATACAAAAAATTATTATATGATTTAGATTGTTTTAAATTGTATTATTTTAACTATTAAATAGAGATTAATTTATTAATATTGAAGGCTCTCTCCTTCATTCAACCCTATTTTACTGTCTGATAGTCTAAAATTACAAAATAAATAATTCTTTTATATATGCAAAAAAGTCATAAATAGAGAAAATTTTGGTATAGAAGATGTATTAAATTTAACAGTTGAGAACAAACAATAATTATAATTGTTAATTATTATTATTATTTATTTTGAGTTACATAATATGAGATAATATTTTTTATATTCTAATTTACTTATTTACATATTATATTATTTAAATTTATAATCATTTATTATCATTATAAAGAATATTAAATTATTTATATTATTAAAAATTAATAAATAATTAACATTAACCGATAAAATGATATCTTAAAATAAGTTAACTAATTATTTAAAAAATATATTTAATATATTCTGAATCTATATCTTAAAAAAACAAATTAAATAAATCATTTTACTTATAAGATTAGCTGCGCTATTATTGTTAACGCTAAGCCAAAGACTTTGGCGTCGTCAAATTAGTGGACCCCGTGTGGTCCACGCCCCAGTCAGTACTGCTTCATATCCGATAACAACACCAGAAGACAACATTATCACAAGCTACGTCAACACACAAGTCTAAAGACACAAGTATTTTGCTTTTATATATACATGTACATTATTTTAATTATGTGATGTGAGGTAATATTTATTATTTTATTTTTTATTTTATTTTTTATTTTATTACGTGGGTTAAATTTAAAATTTTTTATTTTTAACAAAATAAAATAACTATTAAGTAATTGATAAATATTTTGCATATTTAATTTGCTGCGCATCCATTCAAAATGAGGTTACACGGTAGTCTAGGTGCATAGTAGCCTATCCGCCACTCAAAACATCAACAATCCTAGTAGAACCCCCACGCCGCCCCTGCCCGGCCCACCCTCACAGAATCAAGAATAGGGATTCAAAACTTCAAATGCTACACTTCTTCTTGAGGTCCTCCAATAACCCTCTTCTTCCACTGGTTCTCACTTCTTTCAGCCAACGTCGTCATCGACTCAAGTACCATTTGTGACGATATACCCATATAAAATTACTTACGGGAATCACCTCTTCTTTCCTCCAAAGTCACCTTAAAATATGTTATTATAATTAAGAATTTAAATTTATATTTTAAGATAAGAAAAGAGATTTGAGAAGGGTATAAATTTACATAATAATACAATAACATTTTTACTAAAATAAAGATATTTTAGTTAAAATATCATTAAAACAAACTTTATAAAGAATTATTATTATTAATTTTTTAATTATATAATAAATATTAATCCTTTTTTAACTTACCCATATATTATATAATTTAAATTTAAAATTACTCTTTATAATAAAAAAAATAACAGTAAATTACGTTGGCATCCTCATCAACTCATAAAATCGAAAATTACCTCGTTGCGGACGTGGAATTTGTTCAACCTCAGAAATTCTTTGAATCGTATTATTTGCAAATTGCAAGCGGAATTACTGTGGGGAGGAGCAGATGTACCTGAAATCCTAACCGTCTGATCTCCTTGAAGATTCACGTATCACTAAAGTGATATCATCCGACGTGCAGAGTCCACTTGGGAGTTGGGACAAAGATATCCCCAGTTCCAGTACAACACTAAATCCTCCCTCCAACAACTTTGATTATGTTTTGTTTTTCTACTTTATAAATGATAGAAAAGAAAGCTGGTCTCATCAGTTCCCTATGTTCGCTTCCTCTTCCTTAATACACCACTCTGCTTCCCTTCCTTGAACATCTGTTTTTCTGCATTTTCTTCCATGTAAATCTACGTGTTCTACCTTTTCATGGTTTGCACTCTGTTATTTTTCTTTCTTTTTTTTTTTTTCGTTGTGATTCTTTAATGGGGGCTGATTTTAGTTAGAAAAAACAGTTTAATGGGATTAATGGGTCACCTAATCCAATACCCACTTCCTTAAATCCTCGCATACTTTGTGCTAAACCAGCTCAAAGTTTCTACCTTTGAGGATTTTATGCTCTGCACTGAGCTAGAAACTTATAAATCCGAGTTTCAGCTTCTAGTTCTTTGAAATGTCTTCTCTTGAGATGTCGCACATCGATTTGGAGCAAGGGAATCATCGTCGAAGCGACGTTAGTGCTGGAGAAGTTAGCGTCTGCTTCTCTGACGCAGAGGGTTCCTGTTACTCTCAGTTTTATTCCACTACCGGTGGCTCTTATGATGATTGTCATTTCGCTTGTGCTTCCGATGGAGAGATGGGTGGCAATTCCGACTCTAGGAGGGTGTCGTCGGTGGCAGATTGTTTGGTGGAGGTGGAGACTAAGGGTGAACCGCCGGAAATTAAGGTGCATTTAGCTAAGGTTGAGAGAGACTGTAGAATTTGCCATTTGGGTTTGGAGAGTAATAGTCATGAATCCGGTGTTCCCATTGAATTGGGTTGTTCTTGTAAGGATGATCTTGCTGCTGCCCATAAACAGTGTGCAGAGGCATGGTTCAAGATCAAGGGAAACAAGTGAGTAAAAAAATATCTATATTTTTCATTTCGCCCATCCTTTTAATGTTTGATGACCTGATCTTTGTTTTTTTTAGTGAAATTCTTGATACCCATTTGGTAAATTTTACTATAATTAGCTAAGCTAACTTTCTCTTTTGGTGGATTATATTTTTATTAAGTGTCCTTTAAATAATAGTTTTGAGTGTTTTTTTTCCTTTTTTCCTCCTTGCTTAGACTTAGAGTTGAAGGAATGATTGCAATAATTACGCATTAGAGAGAACAAAAAGTTGAT